CAGTTGTTATTCTAACAACCCAAGACTCAGTCAAACTTGAGAGCAGCCAGTGTGCTCTATGGCCAGCTCCTGATGGCTTTAGAAAGGATGTGAGGAGGGCAGGGAAGCTTGAGAGCCACTTTCATCGCTCTCAGATATTAGATCCCATTTCCGAGGCCAAGGACATGACTGATCCTGTGTTGCTTCTCTGAGGCTGCAAATTATTTCTATTTGGCCTATTATTCCCCCTTAATAGCTCATGAAGGCAAACGACAATTACAGCACTATTTGTAATAGACAATAACAAAACAACTGGAAACAACCTATCCAGAGGTTCAGAAACAGTTTAAAATGTTCCGGCGCCTCTACAGAAGAGAAAGCCCTGTAGGTGCTGTTACCTAATGACCTAGTTCTTCATGCTGAAACTTCTCTGCTGTAATGCTAAGGGAAGAAAGCAAACTGCAGAGCACCACAATCCCATTTTGAGTTTAAAAATAGGCAAAAAAAATCTTTACCAGAATCACGTCTGGATCCTGATTGGAAAAAACTACTTGTAAAATGCCATTTTTTGAGACAAGGAAAAATTGAATACTAACTGGAAATAATAGGTAAAACCAAGGATTTTGTTTTAAAAATGTTTTAGAACATTTTTTTGTTAAATATGAAAAGCTACTGTGATTTTGTAAGAAAATGCCCACATTTTAAAAAGATGCACAGTGAAGAATGTAGGGGTGCACTTACATGATCTGGGGATTTTTGAAATAATTCAGAAAAAAGGAAAAAAGAAAAAAGGGGCTGGATAAAATAAGTATTAAAGATAAGTGTATAGGGTTGATTTTACTATTCTCTCTTCTTTTGTATATGTTTACTTTTTTTTTTTCCATCTCACCAATTTGATAAAAAGTAGAAAATTTCAATCAATCATCACTCAATCCTTTCATTTCCAAAAGGGTCAAATAACTTACGGGGCATAAAAGAATCTATTTTTTTAATGTCTTCAAGGAACAACTAGAACTTTTTAAGCAGTTTTCAGTATGATGATACAAATAAATGAAACAATTATCTTTTAAGTTTCCTGTCTAACTGGGCATTTCAAACAAAAATATTAATAGTGATGAAGTTAGTTGAAACATGCTCTAAAATACCCACATCGTTTGACACCTCTGGGAAATGTAAGTGGCCTTCCTATTTCAAGTTCCTTAATAACAATGGAACCCTTACCAGCAATAACAGAGATGAACTTTCAGCACATAGGAACCCAGCTTTCCATCACTGATGAACAGGGAATCACATGAAATGGCCATATATGAGTTCTAACTCCTGTCATGTAGTTTTGTTACACTCAGCCTGTCATATACTCTTATTTTCAGCCCTTTTGGGTAACAATAGGAATTTCTGAAATGGTTTTTGTGGAGTCACAGTAAGTCTATGGTTGGCATTATGAATGTCTCTGATACCATGGCCAGAATCTCTGTCCACCTACTTTCTCTAAATCAGGCTATCCATCTATTTTTCTATCACTAGAAAAAACTGAGACACATCATAGAGCTTTATGTAAAAAGCTATGAGCAAAGTTCATGTACAGAGCGTCTATGGAGTGTACAATCTGTGTACAGTGGTCGGAAATGACCCACGAATTCGGCTTGGACCTACAGAGTAGCAAAAGCAAATACAGTCAGTGACAAGTCAGTGCGCACGACTCGTATGGAACAAAATTTTCATAAGAAACAGTTTTCCTGGTGTATTAGTGGTATAAAGACTGTGGGCCAGTCGCAGTGGCTCACACTTGCAATCTTAGCACTTTGGGAGGCTGGGGCGGGTGGATCGCCTGGGCGCAGGAGTTTGAGACCAGGCTGGCCAACGTGGTGAAACCCCGTCTCTACTAAAAAATACAAAAAAAATTTAGCCGGGAATGGCGGTGCATGGCCATAATCTCAGCTACCCAGGAGGCCGAGGCAGAAGAACAGCTTAAACCCAGGAGGTGGAGGTTGCAAAGAGCCTAGATCGCGCCACTGCACTCCACCCTGGGTGACAGAGTGAGACTCCAGCTCAGAAAACAAACAAAAAACCCGAGACTGGGTAATTAATGAAGAAAACAGGTTTAAATGGCTCACGGTTCTGCAGGTTGAACAGGAATTATGGCGTCTTTGGCTTCTGGCGCGGCCTCAGAAAGCTTCCAAACATGGCGGAAGGCAAATGTGGAGTGAGGCGTCTGGTGAGGCATCTCACGTGGGGCGGTGGGAACAGGAGCTAGAGAGTGAAGTGGGAGCTGCTCCACACTTTTAAACAACCGGGTCTCGTGAGAAACTCACAATCACAGGAACAGTACCAAGGAGGGCGGTGCTAAACCATTCATGAGAAATCTACCCCCTGTGATCCAATCACCTATCAGGTCTCATCTCCGACACTGGGGATCACAACTCGATAGGAGATTTAAGCTGGAGCACAGATCTAAACCATATTGTCTAGAATTAAATCCAGAGAGATATTTATGCTGTGCGTCTTTATAAAATTGTAAAATGTATGATAGAGAACAATGTTCTCAAAGGCATCCTGGAAATAAAGTACGGTAAGGAGCTAGTTTCCTAGGACTCTTTATTGATGACATACTTCAATGTAGGCTGATAGAATTCTGTCAAAGGGGCCGCGCAGGGTGGCTCACACCTGTAATCTCAGCACTTTGGGAGGCTGAGGCGGACAGATCACTTGAGGTCAGTTCAAGACCAGCCTGGCCAACGTGGTGAAACCCTATCTCTACTAAAAATACAAAAAAATTAGCCGGGTGTAGTGGTGTGTGCCTGTAATCCCCAGCTGCTCAGGAGGCTGAGGCGTGAGAATTGCTGCAACCCAGGAGGTGGAGGTTGCAGTGAGCCGAGATCGTGCCATTGCACTCCAGCCTGGGCAACAGATCAAGACTCTTTTTCAAAAAAAAAAAAAAAAGAAACATTTTCAAATTATATCAAAGGGTAATTTCATTAAAGTAATTCTACAAAAAAAAACAAAACATATTGAAATTTTTAATAATAAAATATCTTGACTATGAAAGAGGACAGTACAGGGAGAGAACCCACCATAAAAGCAGATGGTTGGTTTCTACCACCAGCTCCACCAATGCCACAGATGCCACTTTTCTCCTGGTGGCTGCTCCCTCACCTTCTCTACACAGTGGGAGGATTAAGTCAGTGGTTCCCCAGTCCAGTTAGCACAGGAACCACCAGAGGGGTCAGAAGGGAGCCAACTGGTATCTGAGGTTTCCTCTAAACACTGCTCAGCTCAGCTCCCTCAGGGGTGGAAGCTGCTCTCATTAATAATAAGTACATCTTTGGTTGGCAAGGCCCCTTTGTAGCTTGGAAACCAGAGTCCCAGCAGGAGGACACCCTCTGATACTTTGTGCTGACTTGGAAGGAACTGTTGAGATGACAAAAATGTAAGATTCCATCACTGCTGCCTTTGTGTGCTGGAGGAAGCATTCCTTTTCTTTTTGCCACATCATACAAGATGGAAGCTGTTCACATGTGAGGATTACTCCCAGGGGAGTTCCTGCCAGCTGTGACTCGTCCTCTCCCATTCAAGAATGCATTAGGTTTTGCAAGCCCAAAGTTATGTAATCCATGGTAATTTATAATATTTTAAGTCACTGCAACGCTTCAATGTTTTATTAGTAACACATTTTTTTTTTTTTTTTGAGACGGAGTTTCGCTCTTGTTACCCAGACTAGACTGCAATGGCACGATCTCGGCTCACCGCAACCTCTGCCTTCTGGGTTCAAGCAATTTTCCTGCCTCAGCCTCCCAAGTAGCTGGGACTACAGGCACGCGCCACCATGCCCAGCTGACTTTTGTATTTTTAGTAAAGACGGGGTTTCACCTTGTTGACCAGGATGGTCTCGATCTCTTGACCTTGTGATCCACCTGCCTCAGCCTCCCAAAGTGCTGGGATTACAGGTGTGAGCCACCGTGCCCGGCTCACACATTTTTTGTGTGACATAATTTCTCAACAAATTAAGTTACCGTATTGTCTTCCAGACTGAGGTTAAAGCTCTGACATCTGTGCCTACCACCTCTACTACTACTGTCTCAAGTTCATCCCTAACCAGCTCCTGAGAGACTGGGAGAAAACTGCAACTGCATTTCAGGCCCATAGCACATTCTTCTGGGTAAGGAAGCAGTTTGGTTCTCCCCTTTGGCGTGAGAGGCCACAGGGCATAGTGGGTAGGACAGGCTTTGGATCACACCGTGGTCCCAGCCCCAGCCCCTCTGCTCTGTACTTTATTAGCTAAGTGGCCCTAGGCAGGCCATATACTGTTTCAAACAATGGGATTGAGATTAGTACAATTAGTATTAACTCACATAAATAATAGAGCAAGAAATGCAAAGTGCCTGGCTCACACCAAGTATTTGGTAACTATTAGTTATTTCCATTCATGTCACCTGTCACCTCCACCCTGTGGCAAGCTCTTTGAGATTTTATCTTCTTTTTTTTGTTTCCTTATGCACAGAGCTTGGCACAGAATCCTTCTCAGCCTAGGTTGCTGAATGGATGAATCCATCCATCCATCCAGGCAATATGTATTGAGCAGCTGCTAACTTCCAGGCACTGTTCCCCTTACTGCAGATGGAGCAGTGAACAAAACAGCAAGGTCCTGTCCTGGCCGCTTGGTGCTTACCTTCTAGTGAGGAAAACAGACAAGTAAGTGTATAATGGGAGAGAGGGAGAAAAATAGAGCAGAATTGAGGGGGCTAGGGAGGCTGGGGGGAGGGTGTGTTGCTCTTTTATATGTATCACAGGAGGTCTCCCTGAGGAGGTAACATTTGAGCAGAGGTTTAAAGGAAGTCAGAGACCAAACCACAGGAATATGTGCAGAAGGTGGGCTTCAGGCCTAGAAACAGCATGTGCAAAGGCCCAGAAGCAGGTGCACGGATGGCAGTTTTGAAGAAAAGAAGGCTGGCATAGCTGGAGTGGTATGAGTGAAAGGCTTTTAACTCTTTTTCTATTCTGGTCAAAATCAGCACACAACACAATCCAGAAACTGAAAAAGATGTATTAAAATATTCATAAAAATACAACTGAAGATCAAAAAATAATAACGAGCTTGATGGTTTTTCCCTAGCTGATACAGTTCCATTGAAAAACTAGATAGTTTGGAATTTCAATCTCTAAGTAATGCCTTTTGCATGCTCCCATACAGAATTAGCACATAATTTTAAAAGGACTCGTTTTGCCAAGATGAAGACATGGTGGGCGGGGGCAGATCCGCCCTTTGGGCAACCCTAGTTTGTTATCTACAGCCAGGCAAGGAGCGCTGAAGCACAGGAAAAAGGGCCGCAGGGGCAGGTGTGCAGGGCTTGGAAAGAGGCCCATCTCAGTGTGAGTGGCTTCCTTCAGGAAAACCCGTCCTGGCAGAGCACCATGCTGGCAGCTGCCCTTGCCTGGGGAGAAGGTTAGTGAAAACTGGTAAGGATTCTCTGCCAGAATGCCAGGGCACTGACAGAGTTTGAGGTGTCTGGTTGGGCAGGAGGCCAAGGCTTCACCAACACATGGTCCCAGCACCACAAGAAGTGAGGGCTCTTGCTCTCAGGGAGCTCAGAAATGTTTAGTTTATTCAAAGAAACTGCTGAGAAAGAAGTGAAAAAACAATGCCCCTTTCCTCTGTAAAAAAACAACTGTGAGGAAACATGACACAGGCCCGTCTATATGTGTGTCCTCTGTACCTCAAGCACAGCCTTGGTCAGCTGTGTGGTTCTCACAGTGGCAGAGGCTCACCGGGGTCTCAGCTTGAAGGACGGTGGCAGTCTCAACACCCTTCCCCTCCTAACACACATAAAAGGCCTTCCAAAGGCTCCTATAGTTTTCAAAACAGATGCCTGAAAAGTTTGAGGATGCAAGGCAGAGTTGACCACTCTGGAAATGTCTAGCAGTATGTCGCTGTGCGTCACTCTCTCGGGCTGGGCCTGTGAACATGGAAGGTGGCAGAGCAGGCATATTTTTCTCCATTCCACACAGAACACAGAGCAGACGCTGCCCAGCTCCCGAAGATGTGTGTGGTGACAAAACCTGATCCCCACTGACTCACACAGATGTGGTATGTTAAGGTGGAGCATTATAGGAATAAACAAAAACAGTTCCTCAAAACACAAAAGGCCTCAGAGGTGGGACAGAGTTCATTCTAATGCTCATATGCCCTTTATCTTATCACCTTGTGCACACCTTGAAATCTCAATCGTGTTTTATTCCCTTTATGGATTCTCTTACAACTCAGCCTTCAGACATACCCAGGAGATGACAAGATGAGAAGAAAAAGCAGCAGCTCAGAGTGGGCTCCAAACTAGAGGGGAGGAAAAGTAACATTACCCCTTGCTGCCACTTACCCCAAACACGTTCTACAGACCAGCTAGACACGATTCTTTCCATAACTGTGGGTTTTAGGACAATTTTAAAAGGGGGGATTTTTAAAAGAAAATGGGAGAAATGACAACATAAGTGTTTAATGATCTTTATCATGCTTTCCATTCCCAGTAAAAAGTAAAAACTCATCGATTCTAAGTGGGGTGGGGGTTAGTGAATGGGAGAAAAGAAGTTTTAGGGAAGGACAGCCAAACTGTCTAATCTAGGCTCTCGTTAACCTCAATAGTCTTTGAGGCACCATGAAGCTGTTATAAAGCCATGACGGATGCCGCCTCTTGCTGGAAGCATGACTGATGCTTTATAAAGAAGGTGATTCTTTGGCGGGGCGCAGTGGCTCACACCTGTGATCCCAACACTTTGGGAGGCCGAGGCAGGTGGATCACCTGAGGTCAGGAGATCAAGACCATCCTGGCCAACATGGTGAAACCCCGTCTCTACTAAAATACAAAAAATTAGCTGGGCATGGTGATGTGCGCCTGTAGTCCCAGCTACTCAGGAGGCTGAGGCAGGGGAATCATTTGCTTGAACCTGGGAGGTGGAGGTTGCAGTGAGCCGAGACTGTGCCACTGCACTCCAGCTCCAGCCTGGTAACACAGCAAGACTGTCTCAAAAAAAAAAAAAAGAAGGTGATTCTTGCCAGGCACAGAGGTGCACCTATAGTTCCAGCTACTCGGGAGGCTGAGGAGGGAGAATCACTTGAGCCCAAGAGTTCAAGGCTAGTCTGGGCAACATAGTGAGACTCTACCTGAAAAAAAAAAAGTGAAAGAAGGTGATTCTCTAAAGAGTGAGCTCTGGGATATTGCAGAGTAGCAATATAATGATCCCATCTCTCCTACTTAGAAGGAAAGAAACTCCTCTCCTTTAGCTGTATGGGGACTGCTATTTCAAGCTGAAAAGACATCAGCAAAGAATAAAACCAATACCTTTTACTCTCCACATTACAGTAGTTCTCAAGCAAAGCTTGGATTTTCTACTTAATCAGTATTGATCTAAAGGTATCCAGAATCAAGTAACCTTTGGCATTTATCCTTTGCTAATCTTGCTATTACGAATCCACAGATTGATACGACACATTTCAAGGGTGCAGTTTAGTCTATACAACATGTAAGGCTAACAATTGCTCTATATTTTAGTGAGAAAAACATCAACAAAACTTCTCGAATTGTTTTCAACTGGCATAGCCAACAGGTATTTTTAAAAAGCTGCAAACAAATAAATGGTGCTGACCCTGTGTTAAAGGCCACCCAGGATATGCGTCCATCATAGCATCGCCATCCAACTACAATAAAGGCTACGACTGATTAAGCCCTTAGATTAAAAGGCCATGTCTACTGGAAATACTACAGGATCTGCCACTCTCTCCATTAAGGCAAACCATTTCTAAATGATGGTGATAGGAATGTTTCTGAAATCTCCCAAGTGTAAATGACCTGAAAATAAAGTACAAAAACAGCAAGACAATAGGTACATATGTAGAATCATACCATCTTTTCATCATGCAACATTGGCTCCTCACATCAGGAAGATTAAATAGAATATTTATACCTATCCTTTGTACACATCTTTCTCTCCCTCTGTGAGCACACATGTACTTGTCCTTGCCTGGGTCTCCAAGGCTACATGTGGTAATGGGCTACATTTTCTGCACCAGAGTCCAGTTTGGTTTTGTTTCTTGCTGAGGATATGTTCTAGGTCTTCTCTTAATTTTTCCGGATATCCGCATACACCACAGACTCTGACTTGTTAATCTTGTCACTGTGATGTCCGCCGGAGTGGTCTAACTGCGCATATATGACTGGGCCCTGGAAAAGGGAAGCAGAAAGATTAGAGGTTTGAAAAAGCTGGTGGTTCCTTCAGCTACAGGCCTAGAAGCAGTGATTAACGTGATTGCATCAGGGTTCCAAAGCAAAGGTTCCCTCTTTTGAATGTCTTCAGGGAGACTTCTTATGGATAACATGTCCAGGACTGACTTTGAAAGATTGGCGATAGTTAAAGTGTGAACGTGGGGCTTTGTTACATTATTCTTTTAAATATTTTTGACGTTTGAAAATCTCTATAAGAGGAATATCATTTATCTTAATAACTATCACAGAATACCTCAACTCTTACAATTGGGGTCAGAGTCTTAAGGACTAGGATGGGAACTTCCACCCGAGACCCACAGAAATCATGAACTTCAGAATAATCAATCCATGCAAGAAACCAACATATTTGGCGCCACCCAAAGATACACTCACTTTGATCGGGTCACATTATACAAATAGGTATAGTTTCAAACAAATAGTTTAAACATATTTCAAGTATTCTTCAATACAACTACTTATAGCATAATTCTTTGAGTCTGAGCCTATAGTGAGAAATACAAATACTGCTTCCTTGATTTCTAATATCAGATAACTGTCCTTCCTGTTTTAAAATAAAATTAAAAAGAAAAAGCAAAAAGCCACAATCTACACAGATATAAAGAAAAACCCTAAATGGAGTAAAGTAGAACCTCTTCTTAGCCTCAGCAGTAAGAAAGAGGTTACAATTCCAGGGAATTGTCAGGGTCCCATCCAGGAGAGCAAGGGAAGGCTGGGTGGCCTGGGGGCAGAGCGAATTCCCTAACTCTTGGGGGAAGAGGTCAGAGAGGTGGCTACACATCGGGACTCTCAGTCCAGACTCTAAAATTATAAACAACAACAAAACAATCCTGGTTTTAAAAGAAAAATTTTAAATTACCCAGTGTCAGCTTTTCTCCCAATCTAGGGGTTCTCCCTTGAGAAGTCTAATAACGTGCTTAAGCTTTCACCTTTGAAATCGTAAGCTCAGTAGCCAAAAGCATATGGTTTAAAATAAACACACTTATCCCCATCCAGAAGCCCTAACAACCTGTGTCCTTAGTGTGTAACCTGGGGTTCTGTGGAGTTCAGGTAACTCCAATGGAGTTCAGGAAGGGTCAGGTCCAGTTGTTAGGGCTGTACAATGGTGCATCTAAAAACGGAGTTAGAAAATGCTACAGTGCGGGCGCGGTGGCTCACACCTGTAATCCCAGCACTTTGGGAGGCTGAGACGGGGGGATCACCTGATGTCAGGGGTTCAATACCAGCCTGACCAACATGGAGAAACCCCATCTCTACTTGAAATACAAAACATTAGCTGGGCGAGGCAGTGCATGCCTATAATCCCAGTTACTCGGGAGGCTAAGGCAGGAACTTAAACCTCGGAGGCGGAGGAGGTTGCGGTGAGCTGAGATTGCACCATTGCACTCCATCATGGGCAGCAAGAGCGAAACTCCATCTCAAAAAAATAAATAAATAAAAGAAAATAACACTGGATGACTGGATCCATTTGAATGTTGGCAGATCTACAGTCTGAATTATGATGTCATCTTTGTTGAATCTTAGAGAAGAACGTTGGTCATGTGGCTCTGGGTATGTTTGTAAATTTCTAAGCATGAGTTTCTTCATCTCTAAAATGGTCCTATAAATAATATCTACATTTTTGTTTTTTTTTATGAAAATTAAATAAGATGAAACCTATAACTTAGGCAGTGTCTGACAGATAGTACTTAATACATGTTAGTTATTATTTTGAACGTTTTTTTACACAAACACACTTTAAAATGCACTAAGGTAACTGATCAGGTAAACTAAACAGTCAAACTGTGTGTTTATCTTTAGTCTACAATGCCTGTCCTAGGTAATATTAACATATCACATGGTTAATTATCATACAGAGACCCTATATATTCATTTCAGAAAGCTGCAAGTTAAATGCTAACCCCACCAGAAAACAAAAGGAAGTTAAAAAGACTATTTCCTACCAGGAACAGAATGAAAACTAACTGTCCCCTGGTAACATCTATTTCCAAGAATAGGACAGACTTTGCAACATTGAATTATACACATTCTTAGATAATAAAACCTCATATCATAATTCCTAAAAATTCACTAAGTTATAGAATATGTTCATAGGAGGAGTTTACAATGCGTGACTGATTGCACAAATGGGTACAAACTCTTTCCTTCACTGCATCTTATTCTTTGCAACATAATGCTGTAGGTCCTTCCATCAAGAGTAGAAATCTATCTCTCTACCCCTTGAATCTGGGCTGATCTTGTGACCAGCTTCGACTAACATAATGAGGCAGAAGTGATGCTGTACAGTTTCCACACCCAGACTCCAACAGATCTTGCTGCTTCCACTCTCTTGATACTGGGACACAAATAGCCACCATTACCATGTAAAGAAGCCCAAGTTAGCCTGGGCTAACGGTCCAGCTGTCCTCTGTATACCTGGCCAACAGCCTGCCAATGGTTAGACTGTAAGTGAAACCACTGCAGACTGTCCAGCTACCACTCAACCTTCTAGCCAACTGCAGATGCACAAGTGAGCCAGCAGAGATCGCCTGAACTCACCCAGACCAGAACCTGCTCAACCAAACCACAGAATGGGGAGCCAAATAAATGGTGGCTGTTTTAAGTCACTATATTTTGGGGCAGTTTGTTATGTGGCAGTAGATAACTGATACACCATGTAAGTGGAAAAGAATGAGAACAGAGAAAGTAAAGAGAAATAAAAGAACACAGAATTATCTCTTAATCAGTCAGTAAATGTTAAAATATCAATAAGGTCTTTAATGTGAGACAGTATTGTCTTTCATGACAAGAGAATACAACTATCTGTTGAAAGCATATGGGAAAACATTGAAGAAATCCCTTCCTGTTGATGGATTTGGCATTCTTCAAACTATTTACCACCGCCTGATGTTACCCTCATTCCTCTTCTCTCAGAATATAATAACGTCTTAAGTCAGGGACTTTGTTAACTTCCTAGAACTTGGCAGAATGTAGGTGCCAGATGAAGGGATGGATGAAATAAAGGATGCAGAGAAATGGCAGATGTCGGTTGAGATTGGGGTTTGCTGACAGATCTAGCTCGATCTAGAACACCTCTATGAAGTCTAATTCTGAGTGCTATTTAGAGGTGGAAAGAGCCCTGAGTCTCGATGGAATATGCCTCAGCACCTTGATTTTGAGGGCTAATGAGGCTGCTCAGGACTTCAAGAGGTTCCACGGAACCAGGATCAACTTGGAAATGACCCACGATTGCTAAGATGTTCACTTTTGGGTATGCAAGAATAAAGAAGAAAAACAACAATGAAACCTACATTAACCTAGCTGTTTTAACTCTACCTCTTGGCATTCACCCTCCCCACCTTCCACTTCATTTATTTATTTATTTTTGCTTTTACACAAAGAATTACAACAATTAAGTGAAAAATTGCTCTGAATATATGTTTTCAACTACTTTCTACATGAATAGGCCTTAGCTATTGAAAATGTTTCAATTAACACATTGCTTAATATAGGTCTATTATTTTAGTTACAACCAGAGATAAAATTACCACTGAATTTTACTTGTACCAAAATTAATTATTTATTCCAGTAAAAAACCCTATTGGTGAAGGTGTGGGGAGAAGGTCCAGGAAGAAAGGGTTCTAGAATAGCAAAGAGACCTGCTTCTAATTACAAATTAAAGTCATTATGTTGTGTCCTGTAGTACACCTTTGTGTCCTGTAGTACACCTTTCGTAGTCTCTGTAGCTGACAGCCCTAATGTGATTTGATTCTGGTCCTTCCGGTACTAGAGGAATCTTCCCAACATCCTAGCATGAATTGCTAAGAGAGAACATCTGCTTTTACCTTGTGCTCATTGACTGTTGACAGAACACCTTTTGTAGTATTTATTTCACTGCTTTTTTTTTTTTTTTTTTTGAGACGGAGTTTCGCTCTTGTTACCCAGACTGGAGTGCAATGGCACCATCTGGGCTCACCGCAACCTCCGCCTTCTGGGTTCAAGCAATTCTCCTGTCTCAGCCTCCCGAGTAGCTGGGACTACAGGTGCGCACGACGATGCCCAGCTAATTTTTGTATTTTTAGTAGAGACGGGGTTTCACCATGTTGACCAGGATGGTCTCGATACCTTGACCTCGTGATCCACCCGCCTCGGCCTCCCAAAGTGCTGGGATTATAGGCATGAGCCACCGCGACCGGCCTATTTCACTCTTTTAAAATCAAATATAAATATGAAACACAGCTATGTATTATGATTTTCTTTGAGATAAATGAGAAAAACACCGATTATCACAGTGACAGTGAAACAAATTGAATAGACAGGATAAAATATACTCGTGCCTTAGAACCAAACAGATCTGGCTCAGACACTAACTACTGACCTTGAGCAAGTGACTCGCCTAACTTAGGCTCTGTTTCCTCATATATAAAATAGGGAAAACAAAAGAACTTACCCAGGAGGACTGTTGTGAGGACTAAGGGGAAAATGCACATTAACTACTTCTTGAAACATTACCCTACCTATACATTATAGTTGAAAAATACATAAATATTCCATTCCATTGTTTTCCAACATAACCCAAAAACCTACCTTTTGTATACAAAGCAGCAATGATTTCCAGAAAAGGATCTAGAAAACCAACTATTCAGGGCCAGCCTGGTGACTCACGCCTGTAATCCCAGCACTTTGGGAGGCTGAGGCAGGTGGATCATGAGGTCAAGAGATCGAAACCAACTTGGCCAACATGGTGAAACCCCATCTCTACTAAAAATACAAAAATTAGCTGGGCGTGGTAGCATGAGCCTGTATTCCCAGCTACCTGGGAGGCTGAGACAGGAGAATTGTTTGAACCCCATAGGTGGAGGCTGCAGTGAGCCGAGATCGTGCCATTGTACTCTAGCCTGGGTGACAAGAGCAAAACTCCATCTCAAAAAAAAAAAAAAAGAAAGAAAGAAAGAAAGAAA